GAACTGGTGAAAGAGAGCATATTTCAAGAGTTTGCATAACTAAAATCATACGTGGACACACACCCATGGAGTAGAAATTCATGCCTAGCCTAAAGGCCAGAAAAATACAATTTTTCTGTGCCACTAAAGTACTGGTGCCCTGAAACTCTGCAGCCACACTTGCTATGCAGCTAGATTACAGGTCTGTTTTCTCAAGAATAATTGAGGGTCAGCATGGAGTGCCCAAGGTACTGTGTGAAGGAGAACCTGCAGACAAAGGTCTGTCCAAACAGACATATAATCCACATTAAATGAACACTTAGCAGTACTTATGGCACATGAGAGTATGACTGTGTCACTACAGGGCTGACAGGAGGGGATCCCCAAAAGAAAGGTGTATGAGACACAGCAGGCAGTGTGCTGGTCCTGACTCAAGGCTGCTTGGTTTTCAAATTCATTATCACTTATTCCCGCTTGTCAACCTCTCCTTTGCTACTCTTCCTTTTCTACTTCCCCCTCCAGACTCACACAACTCGATTTCTCTTTTTGGCTGTGCTGGTTTGGGCTGAATTAGAGTTAACTTTCTTCACAGGGGCTAGTATGGGGCTATGTTTAGGATTTCTGCAGGGCACAAGGTTGATAATGCAGAGATGTTTTTGTTATTGCTGAGCAGAGCTTACACAGAGTCAAGGCCTTTACTGCTTCCCATACTGCCACGCTGGCAAGGAAGTTAGAGGTGCATGGGAGACTAGGAGGAGACACAGCTGGGACAGGTAATCCAAACTGATCAAAGGGATATTCCATAGCATATGACATCATGCTCAGTATATAAGATAGGAGGAAGAAGGAGGAAGGGGGGACATCTGGAGTGATGGCATTTGTCTTCCCAAGTAACTGTTATGCGTGATGGGCCCTGCTCTCCTGGAGATGGCTGAACACCTCCTGCCTATGGGAAGCAGTGACTTAATTCCTTGTTTTGCTTTGCTTGTGTGTGCAGCTTTTGCTTTCTCTATTAAACTGTCTTTATCTCAACTCATGAGTCTTTCTAGCTTTTACCCTTCTGATTCTCTCCCCCATCCCATTGGTGCAGGAGTCTGTGAGCGGCTGCGTGGGGCTTGGTTGCTAGCTGGGGTTAAACCACAACACTGGCCCTTTTTCAAAATGAATGATTTTTAAGAATTTATATTTTCTAACATGTTTGAGTCTCTACGTAAAGTTTTGTTTCAATCTAGAGTCTCACATTGGCATAGCTCAAGTGTTTTACGTGCTGCTCTGTTAAAAAAAAAGAAAATTAAATACTGCTTTAAAACAGGCAACTCACCAAGGGAGAGCAGGGTTTCAGATGCCACTTTTCTGATCTCTTCATTGTCAGACTGGCAGAGTGTGACCAGCATTTTAATGCTCTCAGTAGCCTGGAAAGTACAAAAAGAACTGCATTAGCACCACACAGTACACTTTGGTTTTATTTTACAACCTTGTATGGAAATAGTAACTGATCTCTATTGCCCTTCCTACCCCAAGTGAAGGGTCTTGGTGGAGACACAAGGAATGGGGTTTCTCTGAGGGGAAGCATTTGGAGAAAGCATATTTTCTGCTGTCAGTGTGGACCCTTTCTAATTTTCCCTCCCTATGTGCTGCATACATAAATCTGCCTGACCAGCTACATCTGCCACTTCTGACTGTAGGATGAGTGATGTGCTGTGGGCCAGGACCATAAAAGTGCCAAGGGAAGGGCACAGCAGGGAGACAAATGGGAGACAGGCATCAAGGGAATGTGTTTCACACAGAACATGTCAAACCTGACAAGTCCAAGAAGGTTGCTTTCACCAGCCCAACTGTGTCTGCAGGGACATGTTGGCCAGCCAGCCCAGTCACATCATCACAGGCTCCTCACTGACACCTGCGCTCACCAACATTTCCACACTTTTGCCTTGTCTCTGCTATTTCGGGAAGAAAGCAGGGAATAATCCTGTTCTCTGCTACAAAAATGTCAGGCCTTTGGGGAGAGCAGCTGTCATAATGTCTCTGGCAGGCTATTTAATACAACAAGAAGAGAGATGAGTGAAAGGAAGAGCAGGTAGTGCGCCAGTGTGACACATGGAAGAGGCACTGAGCCATGGAGCCAGTATTTGTATGACCTCTGTTGATCCAACGGGCACAGGTCTGGTCTACATGCTGTGAATGAGGGGCTTAGCTACCAGAGCCAATAAATCTCACCATCCTGTCTTCAACGCGGTCACTCATGTGTGACCCAGGGCAAGTCCACACTGGGTGCATACTGGTGACTAAATGCTTATGAGTGATGGGGCTGCAGCAGCACAGAGCTTGCTGCAATCTGCAAAGCCTCTCAGAGGTTCACAGTGGGAACTTGTGCAGATGACATGGTTTGATGTGGGTGCCATTGGGTTACCCCATCCACAGCCATCTATCCATTGTAGCATTTCCATCTCTGAAATCGTATCTTTCAGAATGACTTCAACTTTTTCTTTGAGGATCCCAAATGATGATACTTCCCCTCTAGTTTTTTTTCCCCAGCAGTTGCCATTCTCACTATTCAAGATACATTGGAACCACAATGCTCAAGTTCAATGTGTCAAACTCCAGTTCCCACCACTGGCTCCTAGTCTGACTTTCCCTGAGAGATCAAAAGCCCCACTGCACCCTGCGTGCAGCAGAACTGTAATGTCCCTTGCTGCTGCCTCTCAGGGATGCCTGCTAGCATCTCTTCTAAGGGAAAACAGGTTTTTCATGTTTAAACAATATTGGATTGTCTTGGATGGTATTAGTTGTGACTGGGATGAAGTTACATTTTAGAGCTGTCTTCTCCAGGAGACAGTTTAGAGGGAGAAACAGTCAGTCCACAGTGGGTCTGTTTCATGGGACACATTGTTTGATTTTTTTCCCCAGTCAGGATTGGGTGGCTGCTGTTTCCCATGGCTCTATATAGCCAAAACAAAAGTGCAGTTTTCCTTCCTGTCATAGGCTGGAGCGCAACGATGGTACCAGATGCTAGCTGAAGCTGTAGTGCCCAGATGTACCAATTATTTGTCACTAAACAAGCTGTGACCTGCCTCTCCCTTTCTCTTTGACCACTGCAACCCATATGTATTAAAGCTAATTTTATCCTGGGAAAGTAGGGGGTTTGTCCTTCTCAGTCAGGACTCTGTGGATGAGTGGTGTTTTTTTCTCTCTGTGATGTGGAGCTAAGTCTCCTAAAGTCAATATGAGAGGGAGGAAAAGATGATATATGAAAGAGAAACTTTTCCACCATCACAGAGCCTGGATGTTTGTTCAATGGAGCTTCTAAACTGTTCCCAAACAGCACAGTATCTGTAAAAGGACAGAGCTCAGCAATGCAAAACAGAAACACTACTGCTGCTGTTATTGCAAATTCTGTTTTGCTGTTTGTACCTATCATGTCCTTTCTTTAAAGTTAAGTGCCACAATGAATTCCTCATCTCTTACCTTGAGGTATCTTAGAGCCAAGCAAGCTGCTTTCTGCAGCTGGAGGTTGGGCTGGGTTAGTGCTTCACAGTAGTAAATCAAGGCCTGAAAACAGATAAAGAATAGCAATGAAAACACCTGTGCCTCTGGGGAGCAGAAGGGTGGAGCATGGAGGCATTGCTACCCTATTAAAGGAAGAGCAATCGCAGCCCATCTCCCTGACAGAGAGCACGTGGGATGGAGAGGGACAGTCCCTGCTATGGTTAATAGAGTGGGATAATTCCCTACAGCAGGTCCAGGCCAGGCCACTAGTCAGTCATAGCTTAGTAGTCTCAGGACAACTTTTGGTGAGGGAAAAGTTCATGTTAAAATGAGATACACAATCTGGGACCCTTGAAGGCCTTTTCACCCCACACTGCCAAAGGGCTTTAATGGGCCTTGGAGTCTAAATATCTCAAGAGCTGACCCTTGAGATGGTCTCTTTAATGTAGGAACAGTAATAAACAGGTTGGGATGGACCTCGGGGGCAATTAAAATAATGATTAAAAGGTTAGCTGAAGCTGCTAGACCAGTTTATTGCTTGGCCCTAGAAATTAGCAGCCACTCCTGAGAAGTAAATCTCAGTGGAAGTCAGCTGTGCAGTGAACTCCTCTGCAGCACAAGGCTGGACATAATGCCCTGATAGAAGGCACACTGTGGTCCTTCCTGCAGGCAGTGAACCAGGTATCAGCTACACATGCCTGTTCCAGGAGAAGGTTGTATTTTCTTTGCGATGCTGCCTCCATGAACCTGGGGATGGAGAAGGCTAGTATGAGATACTAAGAGGCTGCAAAAATGGAAGATGAAGTGGGAGGGCAAGCAGAGAGGGGACTGGATTGACAGAGAAGAGAAACCAAGAGTGAGATCCTTTTTCTTCTCCCTCTGCTTTCCTTCTACCACTTTTCCTCTTCCAACTGCCTCTTCTTTCACTCTCTCCTGACAGAGAACAAGAAGGATAGTAGGGAAAAGTCTGCCATGAACGGGCAGAAGCCAACTCCTAATTCCTACTTACTCCTCTTCTCCCTTCTCTTTAATTTCTTTTTTAACCTAGTCCTGCTTGTTGCTTTCAGTATCTATGATAGTCTCAAATCTTAGATGTCACAGCTGAGCCATGTTTGCCTAAGGGCCCCTCCAGAAATGGTGAGAACTCCTATAGATGGCAGCCTTCTTTGGGAAAAAGAAATAAAAATCTGAGACCTACGTCTTCGCATGTTGGTGATGCTGGGGACTGTTACCTTGAAGCCTTGGACTGAAGCCAAGTCTGAGACAGGGCAGCAGAAATGCTGAAGGGTGGAAGATAGCTGGAGAGCACAGCACTCAGTAAGTATTTGCAGGTTTGGTTAGTACCTGTTTAGCGTAATGGCAGGTAGAAGCAGACTGGCATAAAGACAGAAACAGACCTGCATATTTGTGAAAAATTAAGACAGGAAATCCCTCTGGATCAGTTTAAATCAAGCTTGGAGCAATTATTTTATATGCACAGACATTTGAGACATACAGGTAGAAAAAAGTCATAATGATAGAGGTCTCTCATGTGACATGTGATTTTCTGCCACTTACCTTCTCCCTGAAGTGCCTATTTTCTGAAGTTGCTGTCAGAAGGGACGCCACAGTCTCATTGACTTCATTTCTATTTTCATTGAGAAGCAAAGCCAAAGCTCTCAAAACTTCCTGCTGTGGTGGAAGGTTATTGGAGTTTATACTGGACACATTTTGATGCAGTTTTCCATCTTTCACTGACTGCAGCACCTGAATGACAGACGCTGGGAGTGCAAGAAAAAGGTCCTTGTTAGTTACTTTATCCTCTCAGTATTTTTGATTGCTCCTTTCCTTGCTCCTCTCCTTCCTTCCTCAATTTATACTGTACACACAAAGGACATGAAAAAAAATCCTCATCTGAGCAACTGGAGCATTGCCATGTGTGTGCTTAGGGAACTGTCTGGGCTTTAAGCTGGGCTGGTTTCTCATATATTCTTCAAAGGAGGAGATGAGTAGATAGGCTATGTCGGACAGTGCAGCACTTATGCCTACCCAGAGCTAAGGGCCTACCTGTCAAATCATCACTTTCTGCTGGAGGATGTGAATTCTCCCTGTAATAAGTGAAACCCAATATCCTTGTCAGTGTACTGACTTCCAGAGCATCTTTGTAAGAGCTTTTCCTAGGCAGACTGATGTCTGCCACCAAGAGCCAGGGCTAATGTTATTTCAGAGTGGGCTGAAATGCCTTTTTCCTTCCAGGTTTTTGAGCAAAAGGTCCCTAGTATGCCCCTCAAAAAAGAGAACTAGACAAAGTTCCTCAAAATCCCTCTTAAATAGACAAGAAAACTTGGCTTGCCAGGGACTGCAGTCTAGCATACTTTGTGGAGTGTCTGCTTCTCTCTTTAGCTCTTGGTAGCAGAGCCTGCCAAACACTGACATGCTGTGATCCCTTGGCTCCTCAGAATTGCTCAGCACTTCAGAAGATCTCTCTGTAACAGATGGTGAAAGACCAAAACTTCATCCAAGCTGTGGGCACAGAAAACTTCCCAGACCTTGGGTTCACCATCAGCCCTTTCCTAACAAACAATGCTTTCAACATGTTTTTTTCCCATTTGAATATAGAAATAGAAATGACTGAGGGTCTATCTGCATCAGCTCCTTTCCTGTGATATGTACAACTGTTCAGGTGCATTAGACTTAGTAGCCAAGGCACTTGTCTCCTTTCCCTCCTTCTTTTGTAAAATCAGCCTCAGGGCTGAACTGTTTTGTGCTGAGCTCAGAAGGACATGGATGTAGTCCCCTAGTAGCCAACAGAATTTATATACCCTACCTTCTTTTGCGAGCTGTAGCAAATAGCTTCCAAGGTCATTAACACTGTGGCTGGCAAAATAGTTGTAATACTGGAAGACAGTAATGGTCTCGGAGGACATGCTGGAGTAGAGGACAGGCTCTGTCCGGTCCAGGATCTGAGACACCAGGATCCTAAAGACTGCAGAGCCATGGACAAAGGGAACAGGTTAGTGAGAGCAAAAGCTGCTGGCAAAATGCTGCAGTCCACTTCAAAGCCAGAAAGAAAGAACTGTATCCGCAAAACTAGATACTTCCCAATCCTTCTAACCTCAACTGTGGTTAAGTTAGAAGCTAGACAGAACTTCTCCCTGTCCAGGTCTCATCACCAGGGGATATCTTTGTAAGGATGAACAACTGCCAGTTTACAGACGGCTAGAGCAGCTTCCTAATACAGCATCCTTTCTACCCAAATGATATCCTGAATCACTAAACACCCATCCACAGGCACCACCAGTTACATCTCCACTGAGGCAGGGAAAATGTGCAGAGAGGCAGGATTTGGCCTTGCTTGGTTTTATGTCCCTGTGTGAGCATGTGGCATGCAGAAAGGTAGTCTGAGGCACTGTCTGTGACAGCTGTAGCATGGAGCAGGAAAGAGAACACTGCCCTGGGTAGGCATCTGTAGTGCAGATGCCCACACCTGAGCACTTTACATCTCTATTCTACCCCAGGGAGAGCTAGTCAGTATAGCTGGAGTTTGAGATGTGGTACATCCAGAGAGGAACCTATGCTCAGACTCATTTGAATGTGTATGAATGTCACCCCAGAGCACTGTAATGGGGCATGGGCATTACATAGACACTTAATTTTAAGTGTGAGGATTTCTACTTCACTGAATCACTTACACACCTGTATTTGGGAACAGACTTACTTTCTGATTAGATCATAAACCTTAGAACAGTATTTTCTGTTGACCTCACCTTTTACTCCTATTCTGATCTAATTATTTTGGGCCAAAACTGTTGCAAGAGTTCTAGTACCAGTTTTCAAATGAAATCTTGTAGCCAAACAGACCTCCAAGGAGTTGGAAAACAGAGCAATGGTGATTGAGTAAAGTCCAGTACACAACTGTTCCCCATTATGATGACTGACACAATATTTTGCAGCAGTTGGTACCTGTTTCTGCAAGTCCTGGACACTCCTCATTCACAGTGGTGGCAAAATTGCTATCCAACTGCTTCATCATCTTGTCTGCAGATGTGTGATACACTCCTGAAGGGCCAGTACACTTCATCCAGAATGCCAGCAGTGACAGCTTCTTGTGGAACTCTGGAATTGCTTGAGGAGAAGACAAAATGAATGATGAAACAAAGCCATGCTGGAAGCATCAACTTCCAGAAGAGAAAAGATGCTAAGAGTGGAGGAAATCTCACCCCAGCCCACTGATGGACAATTAGTGTTTGATGGGTTGCCCTGTGCCGTTACCTTCGCAGAGTGTGATCCTGTGCTCACCCTGGGTTTATAACACTTGTTTCCCACGTTAGGATACGAGAAAATTTGCTCCAGAACCAGTTCTGGCCACTGATGTCTCATCTTTTTAAATACCACAAAATACCAGGGGAATGCACAGGATTGTGCAGACCACAAGATTACACTGCTCTGTGGCCTCGTGTAAGTCTCTCAATATTGCCTGGATTTTCTGATAAAGTAAATAGACCATGTTGTATTTCCCTATCCTGCCACAGTGCTCATGAGGGTGAGTAACTATGCGTTTGTCAGACTCTTCCAAGTATTAGAATGGATGCAACAAGAAGAAAAATAAATAAATAAATATCCATAGAGGTGACTAGAAGTAAAAATGTTGGAGAAGCTGTATTATGCCTCTGATAGTGTAAGACAGATCCTTTCTTTCTTTAGGAAAGAAAGGGGGAAGAATTTGGCCCTTCGGAGGCGGCAGCATCCCCACCCCAGCAATGACCTCTGTCCATCTTCTGCATATCAAGCAGGATGAGAAGTCCTTTCTCTTCCTGCATGCTTCTTTCTGGATCCCAGTGCTGAAGATAGATGTAGGTGACACCTGCCTGGCTGTGGTGACTGCTGCACCTGCTGGTAACCCTGAGTCAGACCTTACTCCAGTGGCATCTCCTACAGCGATGGTGAGCTCTGTACAGCAATTATTTCAAGAGGCATGCATGGCCAAACCAACCCTTTTCAGAAGGAAAGACCCTAATTTGTCCCTTACCATCAGTAAGGGAGGTGATGTTTCCCAAGTTCTCAGTGCTGATCTCCGCGATATTCTGCATCACAAGGATCTGACTGGACAACTTATCCAGGAGGTCTCTTGTCACAAATGGTGTTTTACCGGAGAACACAATTTGCTGGTAAAGACAAATCAGAAGAGAGGAAAAGGAGTCATTGAAGCAAAAAAAACTAACACAACCCCAGAAGAAAACAAAAAACTCCAAAACACCTGGCACCTGAAGTGCAATGGCAAATTCATTGTCCAGAAGCATGGGATCTCCTAAACTTAATAAGTTTTTTGTCTCTGTGTATTTTATGGTCCTGGCTGATACACATCATTGATTGTATCTTTAACATCTACATCCAGATCCAGATGCTTGAGTGTCCAACCAGCCATTTGCACAAGTACTTTCTGATCTACACATTCTGCAATGCTAAGGAATCCATCATCCTAAGCCTTAAAGCCAGAAAAGAATATTAGTCTGACTTTCACATAACATGGGCCCTGGACTTTCAGGACATCCCTGCCTGGAGGAAGACCACAGGTTGCTCTTTTTGCACTGCACTTCAGTTCTGATCAGCTACTCAGGTGCCTTTGTTAATTTGGTGCTTTCTCCTTGCTAATACTCCCTGAGTTTTCTTCAGCAGTTCATGTAAATATTATTCATATCAAATCTGCTCTGTGTGTGGACATTGTTCGAACTTGCCTTGCTCAGCTGTGTTTACTGTGTACTCTTGCATTTAAACCAAACCCCTCCCTTTTTCTCATACTTTTGAGTCAGCAGAGTGTCCAGCTCAGCACTAAGGGTGCTGGAATCAGGCTCACTCTGTATTGCCTCAGTGGGCCTTTGGGAAAATAAAGCTAATTATATCTAGGATGGAAGAGTGAATAATTTCAAAGAGGAAGCTGCAGCATGTTTTGATTCATCAGAAGAACCCCGATGGCCTCACTTACTGGTGGTTTAAAAACACATTTGCAGTGCATGGGCTCTGACAAAAAAATTATAAACAAAATTTTGGGGTTTCTATTAGTTGTGAGCATGAACTGACAATTTTGATGTCCCAGGGGGGCTGTCACATGATGCCTTCACCATATCTGTTGCAGACAATCTCTTTGCCTCACGTGCAGAAATTAATTCCTGTTCTTGAACATTGCAGCCTCATCTGGGGCTCAGTTAAACAATGGGGACAGGAGCTTCTGTTTTACCCCTGAAGACATGGGCTGCCTTAACTGGGGACCAGCCTCACTGAGGAGTTCCCAGCAAAGCCAGTGGGTGTTTGTAATCCAGAGCAGGAGCTGCCCCTGTCACCTGCTGCACTGCCTCTCAGCCCTCCTGGGCAGCTCCTGCCAAGTACCCCATAGTTCGCATGTCAGGTCTGCTCTGAGATGGGCCAGGAGGGAAATGATGGAGGCTCTTCTGGCTGGGGATGAAGGGGTCTCCATCCTACCCCAGCATGGCAGCTGTCCCAGCCCTGAGCTCCCATTGCCTCCCAGGAGCAGCGCTGGCCTGGCCAGCCTGCTTGTACTCCATGTTTCAGGCACACCAGAGCCTGCGAGAAAAGTGTTCAAATACATGCCCCAAATGAGCTGGGCTCAGTACCTGAATGAGCTGGGTGCAATACTGCAAGTGCTTAACTATGGTTATATCGAGGCTGTCATTGCCTGTGGTCAGGGGCAGAGGGCTGCCGGCCACGCTGGTGCCCACACCCGTGTCTTCAGTGAGAGCTTCGCTCAGGTGGCCTCTGGCTTCTGGGTGCTCTGTCCTGTAACTGGGGAGGAGGGAGGGAGGTCAGTGCAGGGCTGACTGCTGCCACAGCAGACACACAGACACACACACGCTCACACAGGGTGATGAGCAAAGAGCACGGCAGAAGAGCTGAAAGCAACCAGAAACCTGGTGATGAGCACATCATATCACGAAGGAGCAGTGCTGCCCTGGCTGGGTGCAGGAGGGACGTACCCACCAAGGGGATAGAACTGCCTCCTTGCATGATGTGATGAGCTCAAACAGCAAACCTTGTTAACCTGTGGTTACTGCCCCTTGGTGGTGACAGATTTGTCCCATCTGCTGGTGAGTCACCTCCCCACTTGCTCTGGATCAAGCACCATGACAATTTGTGCCATCCCAAGCACTGAGCTGTTAAGAACAGCCCTGTGCTTTCTGTGTCCTCCTGCTGCCAAATTTAAGGCTCATTGCAGAAGGAAAGGAAAACCACTGCTGAAGTAAGAGATACGAAGTTTTCATATGCTGTTTTAGGCACAATGTGCACAGCTTACTTTGCCAATTGTTTCTGTAAGAGCATGGAGCCAGTCTCACTGTGTTTTAAATCATTATTTCCAACATTGTCTTGCTGTAAGAACGGTTCTCCCCATGTTTAAGTGCAAAGCTTGAGGTCAGTCCCCAGATGGCAAGTGTGTTTGGCTGCAAGTTCAGAAGTTTCAACATTTGCAATCTTTACACTGAGTCACACATGCATCTAAAAATGGAAGTGGGAATCTGCACTGTCTGGAGATGAGCCAGAGGGGAAAAAAAGAAATTTTACTTTCTACTTTAGCTTAATAGATTTTAGTTGCTTTCTGAGTTAGCTTATAACTAACATTTTTGCTGCTTAAGTTGAATTTACGCTAAAGGGCCTGGTTAAAGCTAGATCCTTAAATCAGCACAGACTGGACTGAGCTCACAGTGCCAGTTTACCAAGCAACACAATTTCCCAAGTTTATCTTCCCACCAAGTCTTATTCTGGAAGGAAGACATGAGATGATGGAAACTGCATGGTGGTTGCTCATTACACTCAAAAGAGTTTTAAGCAAGCCACGATAAGCTGTGAGTAGTACAGCTCCCTGGCTGGAAAGCATGGGGTGTGAGGGAATCATGTTATTTTCTTTTTTTCCAGCTCTAGTGCCGCTTACGTGCCTGCTGGGCATCGTGTCAGCTTAAAGGATGCAAACATGCTTTTAGGATCTAATGACTGAAGCACCACATCTTAAAGCCACACAACAATGGCAGGCCACGGCACAAACACCAGATCTTTTTTCTTTTTTCTTTTTTTTTTTTCTCAGAAAGACCAAAAGTGATGAAAGAAGGGCAGGTAACACGCAGGGCCATGAACAGAGTACCAGTCATCACTCTTACATTCCAAAGGAAACCTACATCATGCTGCTTAAATCTGGCCCTGTGTTATTGTTACTGACAAGCTTAATCCACTGCAAAGACTCATTCGGCTAGAGAGAAAAGACAAAGGGAGGGGGGAAAAACCACAGAGGAATTAGTAATTACATCCAAGGAAAGCCAGGTCCAAACCTATGTCAAGGAAGAGGCTCTGCCAGTATTGATGTCAGCTTGATTTAATTTACCCTTCTCCTTTGGAGGACAAATTGCATATATTTGAACAAGGAAAAAATGTTCCTGGAAGCTAAAGATTTTGTATGCAGCAGCCACAGGGAACCCTCTAACCCTATAAACTCATCAAGGATTAGTCGGTCTTCCTTGAATAAATTGTGCACCGGGATCCCGTGTTAGTGACAAAGAGCTGGGGTATCAGTTTGGCGTAAGCACAGCTGGCAGTTACTACAAACTTACCTATTCTTCTCAATCTCAGTGTCTGAAAATACTGAGTCTGCACCTCCTCCACCATTACAAACCTCCACACCACCACCATCCTCATCATCAAAGTCAGAGGTGTTCAGGAAATCAAAGCTTTCTAAAGCACTTTCAACTGTTAGACTTAAACTGGAGGACCTGCTTCGGCTTACTGCTGGCTTGCACTGCAAAGGCAGAACGAACCAATGAAAACCCCAGATATTACTACTACTGAAATATAAGAAAAAAAAAGAAAGGATAAAGCATAAAACTTTCAAATTCTTCATTTTATTTTTAAAACTTCATTTTATTGGGTGTTTCATTTCAAGCCTTCATATTCATAGCATATACAATCAAAGCCTGAGAAGTGGGAAAACCCTTCCATTCCTCCTCCCCTCCCCATCCTACCCGCTCTCTTCCCCAAAAGGAAGACCCTCAAAGGCAAAATTCAATGTGTTTTATAGAAATAAGAAGTATATCTTGAATCCAAGTGATGCAGCTTTTGGCACCCTCCAGAATGAGAGATGGCAATTAATACAATGGAAGCTGAAAGGGGAAGGCACATTCCATAGTTTCTGTTCTAGCTACATAAGCCAATTTATACATATTCAGAGACACTATCTGATTTATTCCAGATGTAACTCCAATGGACCTTAGCCAGGAATGAATTCGGTCCTGTATCTGCAGATTTATTAATGGAATGAGAGGACTTTTGTGGCCTTTGAAGCCAAAAGACTTATCAAGGAAAAGTCAATCAGGCATCAGATTCCAAGCTGACAGAGAAAGAGAGTGTTGTAACTCAGAAATTAATGGTGCTAGAGATGGGGGAAACCATCCCACCTCACTGCTGGGAAAAATGCAAAGGAAACCTTGCTGTTGCTGTAGGAAGTATCAAAGGCCCTGGTCCCACATGGTGATTCATCCAGACATGCCCATAGAGTTGCTTCCCGGGTCACCTTGTGGAATCACATATAATTTGAGTGACCATCTCCATTGGTTGATGCAATTACTTCAACGTCTTTCACACTATGTGATTATTTGATCAGAAACAGCCATGAGCCACTGATGCAGTTAACCAAACCACATCCTCAAGATCCAGACAGGAGCCACAACGTTGTCTCAGCTTGTAGAAAGAAATGTGTTTGCCTCTGAGTTCAGATTCAGCACCAACTACTCTAGAGCTGAAGGGGGTTGGATTTGTATTCCAATTTGTTTGCACACAATACTAATGCGATAATGGTCACACATTTGCACTTACAATGCTTGACTCCTTAAACTGACTGTACAGTCATTAGCTGATCAAACACACTTCCCAACACATTGGTGACATGGGTGGGCGCTGTATCCTGCTTCCTGTGCAGCACCAATGGCTTTAGCTACCATTTCCTTCAGGGCTGGTAGTGCAGCTTCTTCAAGCAAAAATGAACAGCAACATGTGGGTTTTTCGTTTTCTCTGCTCATCTAATATGGCCAAGAGAGATTTCTTCAGCTGCAGCTGGATTCCAGCTCAACCTTTTTGCACGGGGAGCCCAGCATGGCTGCTGGTGATGCTGAGTGTCAGTCTGCAAGCTGATCAATAGGTGACATGCAGACTTTATCAGATCTGGAAGAGGCATCCATCTCGAGTGTGCAGCAATCCTGTGTGCACACATCCAACCTCTCTGCCCCCCACCCCATGCTTGTCCATTTGTAACTTCTGACCAAAGGAGTCTAAATATTTAAACAGTCTCCATTGTCACTCTGCTGTTTGGATAGCTGACCTCTTTGTACAGGCTGCAAAGCAGCCACAAAGTTAGAAAATAATAGTCATGGTACCTTTGTCTGCTTGAACCTCCTTGGGAAATAAATAATGCAAGGAACAGGGGCTGCACGCTGTCAGAAAAAGCACTTAACTTAGGAAAGTACCATGTGGCTGTGAACACCAATGGAAATAAGAAGGTTAAGAAAGTTTCTTTGTAAAGAGATAATGCAGAAGGATAAATGCTTCCCTCCTTCCTTCTCAGCCATGTTTTTGAATGATGAGGCTTAAATGACTAGCAGACCAACTTGCATATGAATATGAAGCATTTGAAATGATTATTTCCCATATAGTACTCTTTGCACAGTAATGCATCATGAGTTATTATTCATGGGGAGATATGAGTCACAGTGATTCACAGTAAACATATTAACAATACACATGCAAACCCGTTTTCCTCTGATTTTCAACATTTTCTGTCCGTCCTGGTTTAATGGCAGGATATTTCTCATTATAAAAATAGATGGGGGAAAAAGGAAAAGGCTTGGAAGAAGCCTAGGTGACATGGGGACGGCAACCTTTAGTGAGATTTGTGCTTCTAAATCCCTTTGGCAATTTAGAAAATTCAGCTTCTATGGCTACAAGGCCTGATCCTCAGCTGGTGTAGTTTTGCACAGCTCCACAGAGTTCAGGGGTAGTACACTAAAGTACACCCACTGAAGATGTGACTCACAGATTTCAAAGGCAGGAGTTTGGCTGTATTTGATCTCCAGTATGGCACAAACAATGGGTTCACAAGTGGTTTCTTCAGAGAAGGGTATAATTTAATTACCCCTCTGTCACAGCACCTTTTTCTCTTTCCCCCGTGTTTTGATAAAAGATCCACTGCTCGAGGATACAAGGCTAGGACAAGCACATTACTGACAAAAGTTTAAATATTCAATACTGAAAAAGGATGCTCCAAGAAGGATCAAATCTACTGCTACTGGGGAATTTTGCTGCTCTCCAAAAAAGCTTACTTTGATGTTTGCGATGCACAAGGGGGAGATTCTACCTGCTCAGATTTTCCCTAGGGTAGGTGTTCTGAAAATGTACTCACTTTTAGGATGTCATCTAGATGCATCACTTCTTGGTCCAGGTCCTGAAACTCTTTATACTGCTCTTTATGTGGCTCAAGAGCTAAGAGAAGCCCTTGCAAGGCTTCTTCAATGCTTCCATCAAGATAAGACTTATATCCTTCTGATTCCCCACTAATCGATCCCTCACATGGCAGCCTCTCTGGGGTCAGGGGTGTCTCTGATGATGTAAGCCTCTTAACCAGCTGCTTTGTGATGTTGCCCTCATAGGTATCCAGCTCCACAGGCTTGAGCTCTGAAATTTCATCTGTGTCCTGCAGGAGAGACACTGGGACACTTGTTTCTATAAAGACATGATTGCTCCCAGCATCAGAGATTTTTTGGCAAACTTCAGGAGGTGCCCTTGGGATGGTCTTGTTCTCAGCCACTGCTCCCTCTCCCTGGGACAGCAGGTCCTTCGGCTCAGCGACAGAGTCTCTGCGGGAGTCACTGCTGCTACAGTCTATGCTTGAGCTCTTGGAGGACTCAAGAGCTTGGTGTTGGGTGGAGGTCGCAGTGATGTCAGGACTGGAGCTGATATGAGCAGAAGAGGACTCTGCTGAGTTGGCAGAGGGCACGGGGTCTTCATAAGGCAGGTCGCCAAAAGTGAAAGAAAGAGGCCGCTTCTCGGTTCCATTTTCAAAGACATCATCTGGCAAATTCGACTGTAAAGACAATAGAGAGAAAATGTTTTCATGCAGCACTGGGAAAAGGCAAAAAGTACATTATGTGCCCAGGAAAGAAAAAGGCAAGGAAAGAGATTAAAGAAGCATCACGACTTGAGAGATAGGAAAACTATTTCAAGTCCAACTTCTTCTTTGGCATGGCTCTTAGCAGGAAAACTGCTGGAAAACCTGGGCTCAGCATCTCTCTGCTAAGCAGAGAACTCTTAAGAAGCGAGCCCCAGAACAAAGACATGAATTCTGCTCACCCTACCAAATTCCCTCAGACAGCGTTTCCAGTGCATTGCTCTAGTGCCTGTGGCATGGCTCTGTATACTGGGGTTGTACTTAAAACACCTGGTATGCATTTTCCTACCCGCTATAGATTTCTGTGGTATTTATTTTCTGACTTGTAAAGTGTCAATCCCTAAAATGTAACACAGTTTTATCCAAAAGTTTCTCTAGTGTCATGGTGTTTTAATGGTGATATTACTTTGCTATTTCTTTTCTGTTGAAAGTATGTTCTGCACGTGGCATGGATCTCTGCGCTGTTGAACAAGAGTTACACAGGAGTACCATCCAACATGAGCTTCTGCTGAAATGAAACAGCAAAATTGTGTGGTGGTGTATTGAGCAGGACATTGATCATTTAA